TCATAAAAGGTTTATCTTCTTTGCAAATACGTTGATCAATCATTAATTTAGTGTTCATAGTTTGAAAGTAATAGTTGATTTCCTATAATAGTTTTCGTCACCATTAATGTGATATGTTGGGGAGGTCCAAAAAAGTTATGACCATTAGAGATTATAGTCAGGTTCATTTCATTTAGGATGTTTTTATTAATCTGCATCACAGCAACTCAATGATGTTCCCAACCCTTCTCTTTCTTGACCCCTGCCTGCGATTKATGTTGTTAAGCATTGGGCCATAGGGCGTGTGTTTCTCTCTTTTATTAAGCCTCCATCAGTTCCCTTTATAGTGCTCTACAGGTTTTGGTTTTGTTTCAAAAACTATATTCCTGCTGTCAACAGCCCCTTGGTTATGTTTTGAAGAGGTTTAAATTGGTTTGTCGTCTTTTGTTTTCACTTCATCCAGGTAGGACTAATTCTGTTAAGAAGTTTGTCGTCTTTTGTTTTCACTTCATCCACAGTTTCATAAAGATCCGACAACAATAACTTAACCAAACTTAATTTAAACTCATTTTAGTTACTATAATTCACAGCTCAAAATCAATTTTTTATCAGTTTTTAGACGCAAATATAACCAACCTAGAAGCCTTATTTCTAAAAAATGTCTAAAGGACAGGTTTAGAGCTACATATAAGCTTTCTAAAATGTCCAGAATCGTAGCAATCCGAGCTACAGTTAAAAWGTTATCGCACATTCAAAACAGCATCTCAGATAGATTCGGTGCTGTCAAATTCACCACTAAATAGGCTAAAATCCATATTTTGGATTCAATCTTTATTCCAACAATCAAAATACCGTCTAACCATGTTTATATTATTGTTTASAAGATCAATACTCAAGAATTTCACCAAAATAGCCATTAATGAAGAAAATCAAAGTTGAACCTATGTTCTTCATTTTCCAAATCTCCAAATCATCAATCAAGCATCATAACAACTTAGTCAGCTGCTGTTGCAATGCATACATACATACCCCTGTATGCACATACATACCCATGTGTTAGAGGACATTATATACTAATCCAAACTTATATACTTTACATACCCTATAGCAAATTTTGAACCTAGAGAAACAATGACAGCAACAGCACATTATGGTCAGCTGCTGTTGCAATGCATATCTTATGGTCAGTTGTTGTTGCAATGTATACATATATACCCCTGTGTGCACATACATACCCATGTGCCTGCTGTACATCGTAGAATATAAATAGTTTAGAAGTTTAAAAAAGAATATCCATCCAATAGAAGAAAACTTGGTGTCAATTCAACCACGAAGAAGCAAATTTTGAATTCTTGGAGATGTTGGAACTATTCAAATCCTGTAGTTTCTAGACATGAACTACTAAAGC